CACACACACACACACACACACACACACACACACACACACACACACAAATACAAGACCATCATCTATTCAGTGTGTCACAATATCATTCGGCCTTCGTGTGCTGTGACAATATTATTTCATATGTTACATCTATTTATTCTGCCTCCCAGCTAAATAACACCAGTATTAAACACAACTGCAAATACTGAATTTAAAATGACATTATCAAGAATCTGCTTATGGTTTCCTGTTACCATCTAAATAAAAACATAATCCTAAACTATCACAACCCTTAAACTGTCAGTATAAATGCTGGCTCCGTTTTAAGAGTCTCCTCTGTAACCTTGTTCCTCTCGGAACAGGGCCTTGTCCGCTAAGTGACTATTTTCTGTGGTAATTGGTATCAGTCTGAGGTTATTCCAGCGGCTGGTTGATGAATGACTTCCTCATCATTTATTGACAAGTCTATGCAAATCAGGCTTGGCTTACTCTGAAGGAAAACTTCCTAGGTTATAAGGGAACACGAGGAAAGGAATACTACAATCAAATGAATTATTTGATTGAAGAGAATTTAGAATTTTCACCACCCACTTTTTTCTTTCCTGTGTATGTATGTGTGGACATATGTATGTTCATAAGTGGGGGTGCCACATACATGTGTGTATGTGGAGGTCAGAAGGCCTTGGCTGCTACACCATGGGTTTTGGCTTTGTTTTAGAGTCAGGGTCTCTCACAGGCCTAGAGCTCACTGAGCAGGCTGTGCTGGCTGTCTGGCTGGAGAGCCCCAGTGATCCACTCATCTTTTCCTCTTCATGCTTGGATTCCAATCAAAGGCCACCATGGTCATCTTTCTCACGCCGACTCTTAGGGATCAAATTCAGGTCTTGGTGGTTATAAATCAGGCACTTTCACACACGGTATATACTCACTCATATAGACATAATATAGAATAAATTATAGACATAATATAGACATAATATAGAATAAATAGACATAATATAGATATAATATAGATATAAATAAATAGACATAATATAGAATAAACCTACTAAAATCTGTACACCTAAAGAAACTAATCAAGAGGGAGGACTCTGGCTAAAATTCTCAATCCCCACTCCAAAAGGCAAAGAGGATGGACAACAGAAGAAGAAGAAAACAGGAAACAAGTTAGGAGCCTCCTACAGAGGACCTCTGAAAGGCTCTGCCCTGCAGACTATCAAAGCAGATGTTGAGACTTATGGCCAAACTTTGGGCAGAATGCAGGGAATCTTATGAAAGAAGTGGGAAATAATAGTAAGAGCTGGAGAGGACAGGAGGTCCACAAGGAGAGCAACACAACTAAAAAATTTGAGCACAGGGGTCTTTCCTGAGACTCATACTCCAACCAAGTACCATACATGGAGATAACCTAGAACCCCTGCACAGATGTAGCCCATGGCAGTTCAGTGTCCAAGTGGGTTACCTAGTAATGGGAACAGGGACTACTTCTGACATGAACTGATTGGCCTGCTCTCTGATCACCTCCCCTTGAGGGGGGGGGGGGGCGAGCAGCCTTGCCAGACCACAGAGGAAGACAATGCAGCCACTCCTGATGAGACCTAACAGACTAGGATCAGAAGGAAGGAAAAGACCCCCCCACACCAGTGGACCTGGGGAGGGGAGTGTGTGGAGAAGGGGGAGGAAGGGAGGGGTTGAGAGGGGAGGAGGGAGGGAACAAGAGGGGGGATACAAAATAAATAAAGTATAATTAAAAATAAAAAAGAATAAAAGAATTGGAAAGAAAAAAATAAATCAGGCACTTTACCAACTGAGCTGTCACCACCTTCTCTTTTAATAACGAATTAAGAAAGTACATTAAAATGCATAGGTAATAAATTTGCATCTTTCCCACTTATTTGGACTCAGCAGAAACTTATTTTTTTCTTCATCTATTGACTTAGATTGCATGAGGTTTCTGCAAGCAAGAACAGCCTTGCTGGTCAAGGGCTGAGTGCCGGGAAAGACTCATCTTTTCTGTTGGAAGGTCATGGAGGGGACCGTTCGGTTTACATTCCAAACCAAATGCTCGAGGCGCATAAGTTGGTGAATCACTATGGAACTGAGCTGGGATCTGCAGCGACAGCAAGTCTCACTTCCGGTAAGAACCAAGTATGGAATCTTTTAGGTCATCAGGAGCCTTGTTTGTTAATACTAGTAGAGAATTAGTATGAATTAAGGCCGGTATCTGAAGCAATTTAGAATGGTGGGTTCAGTGGCTGTTCTCCCAACGGAAACAGGGAAAATGACAGGCACCGCTCAGGGAATCACTGCACAAGTTCTCAGAAACGTCCCTGGTGAGCATGACGAAATTCGAGCATGAAATTTAGAAGGTAGGTATGGCACAGAACGAGAAAATAAGAGAGCATCAGAGCAAAGAGTAGACTGAAACGCCTCTAACACTTGGCCTGGCCATTGTCCCAGAATTTGTGCTCACACAGAAGGTTTAAATTTCATTTTAGAGATATGCAGAAGTGACGGAGTGTGAAACTCCTACATGGCTTACTCTAGACATTTTAATGTCCATATTTGAATAGCTTAAAACTAACATGTAAGATAATAAATACATCAGATACATAAAGATTTCTGTGTTTTCACCTGAAAGCGTGAGGGATTGAAGAGGAGGCTCAGTGGCAAGGAGCATTCGTTGCCCTTGCAGAGGACCTGAGTTCGATTCCCAGCACCCACATGGCCGCTCACAACCACCTGTGATTCCAGTTTCAGAGGATCTGATTCCCTCCTCTGGCATCTGCGTGCAGTGTACAAACATGATGCAGAGACATACATGCACACAAAGTACACGTACACAGAAAAAAGAAAAACAATCAGATACATATTTAAATATAAGAAATGTGAAATTCCAAACAGATGACTGAGCCGTTCAAACTATGCATCTTGAATCTTCCAAAATAACCATTTGGCCAAAATGTCGGCATTCTAAGCATGGCATCTGATGTATCATTTGCATAACTAGAGCGTGCAAATATAAAAGAAAAAAGGGTGAATTTCACACTATAGCATTGATTCTTAGCAACTTCCTGGATAGCTCTTCTCCCCCACCCCCACCCCCTTATTTTGGAAATATAAACATTTGGTCTTTACTTTTAACATTGCCAAGCTAGCTTTTGTAAAATCTGTAGTGAAGAATTAAAAGGTCAGTATTATTAGTTGAAAAATAAGATGTGTTGGCTTCATAATGGAGAGTCACAGTAAAACCTGGGCATGTGTCATCGCAGGGTGTATGTGTATTGAGCCTGTATGTGGTTTCACTAAAAACAGCTTTAAATTTACATTGGCATGGCCTGAACAAGAGATTTTTAGACGCCTGCTCTTTTAAAATGGATGCACTTGTTTGCTCACTCAATGCCATACAGATTACAATTTTCCTCTGCACAGGAATCCATTCTCATCAGGCTTATAAAGAAGAATAAAATGCATTTTGGCAGAGTGTTAGAGTGGGGAAGTGTTGTTCGTGATAGCTTTGTTAGAGGTGAACATTTGCAAGTCCTGGAAATGGATCAGGAAAAGCAGATGAGAGAGACGGAGAAAGAGAGAGAGAGACTTCATTGCAGCCATCATTTCTGACACAATGGCAGTGATTCAAGAAGGAAAGGCTTTTCCTCTGGCTTTCCAGATGTCTGAAAAAATCAACACACTTGTAGCCATTGTGACGTTCAGTTTGGTTGAGGAAACTGTTCACGTCTCTGTCAGGAGAAGAAAAAGTAAACGGTCACCCCACCAAAGTTCTCAAGCATGCGGGGATTCTCATGGAGGGCTGTGTAGGTTGTGGTAGCCTGGGAATGGTGCTTCGGACCTGGGATGGTATGTTTACTTCCTTACTCCATGAATAAGTCGGAGCCTTAAATCATGTTCTCGGTCTGTCTGTCTGTCTGTCTCTTCCGTTCCCTTCTGTTCCCTTCCTTCCCCTCTCCCCTGCTTCCTTTCTTTTTCCTTCCCTTCCCCCCCTCTCTCTCAAATCATGCATAGCCAGTTACCAAAAACTACTAAGAATTTTCTATATGATGTTCTGTCCTTTCTGGGGTCAGTTGCGATTTCAAACTTTTAGTCACTGAGAGATGAGCCTTGATAAGCTCCAGATGCATGGTATAAATTAGCTGATAACTTTGATGAGCGTCTCCATATGCTGTGCTCATTACTCGTTTAAAATGTAATTCCTGCAGCTGATGGCTGTCCTTGACTGGTGAGGCTTGAGGGAAAGTCAGCAGCCTTAACCATTTAAAAATATCATAGTTTCTGCACCCCGTGGGCTGGCAGCAAATTGTCACTCTCTTCTACAAGACACCCAATCACTGCCTGTCTTTGCGACCTACCCTCTCCCTCTACCTGCCCTGGCTTGCCCCGGGCTCATCCTCATCCTCACTGTATGGGGCTATATGGATTTCTATAAGGTCTCTAGTCTGAGATCCACTGTTCAATTGACTCTCACAGTGACTCAGTCAATCATTAGTTTGGGGCGTGGAGCCCCCAAAGCGATGATTTAAATTGTTTGTCCTTTTTGTTTGTTTGTTTGTTTGTTGTGTGTGTGTTGCAACAACCACTGTGCATGTGGAGGGTTGAGGAGAACCTGGCAGGAGCTGGTTTCCCTTACACCATGTGGGTTCTGAGGATTTAACTGCGATGTCTGGAGACCTTTTTTATAGTCACACTGAAGGGTGATTCTGGCGTCTGGTGTGAGAAGAGGCCGACAGCATCTGCATCTGTTCGTTGCTGTCCCCATCAGTGCTTCAGGACTTTTTTTTTTTTAAATCCTCAAAGGCATCATAGGGTGATAATAAAATCTGAACATAAAACTTCAAAAACGTTACCAAGCTGAGCTCTTTTCAGTGTTAAGTACATTCTTTGTCTTTCCCATAGGCATATTGGTTTTCATAGCCTTATTCGATCGTGTGTCCTGCATTTTCACATGCTAGTATGTCTAATACTGTCCACTTTGCTGTAAACTCCACTCTGATTTTTCTAAACACTCTCACAATGTCCCCTTCAATGAAGAGATACATTTAGCTGCTGACCTCTTCTTGAACATGTAGTTCGATTCTAATTTTTTGCTCTCACATATTCAACTTGAACATACATGTGCTTCAACTTAAATCTGCCTTGGAGGGCAAAATCGGCTTCTAAGCCATCCCTGGAGTGTCAATTAGCTGATGTTCTGCTGTCATAGAAGCCTCTGACCATCTTTACCAAGGAACTGATTTTACCAATGTGTGCTATGTGGTTGGTGGTGGCACCAGGATCACTCACAACTGATGAACGATATGCAGTTACCAAACCTGAAAATAAGTTAAACTGCATCATTATTTTGGAGAGTAATTTTCAAATAATTTTGGTGGTATAATCCTTGTGTTTAAACTTTTGAATTTTTTTTTAAAGCTTGCTTATAATAAACTCACCTAGAGACATATGGAACAACTTCATTAAAACCGAAGGGTCAGATTGTGGCTGTTTTGAGTGTAGCGGTTCCCACAGGACGCAGTGATTTTCCTTGGCAAGCCAGTCTTTTTCTGCTTATTCTTGTTTCAGAGCACAAGATGGTTCATAAGTGATGTTCTAACAATTTAAGAGCCACCTAGAAAAAAAAAATCAAGGCCGAAAGGAACATTTGTCCCATTTTTGGGGGGAAAGGGTAAAAAAATCTGTTTTAAACAGTTATTTCTATGTAAAATAGAAGAGACTCTCACACAGCAAAACTAGACTTGTTTCTCCTTGGCATGTTAATGGCATGCATCGATGTGCACACACTCTGCCTCCCTCCCCTGCCTTCAGCCCTGGAGTCCTAGCCAATGACCTCAGCAGATAGAAGGGAGGACAGGCCTGGGCTGCTGATATGAAATGGAGAGATTCATAAAGTGCTGCCAAGTCCTCTGCAGATAAAGCCTGCACAAATTGTCATATCTGAGGCCTGTATGAGTGCGTCCGTCTGTAAGTTAGGCCAACAGGCTGCGTTTTTGTTTTTGTTTTTTTTTTCCTTCTTCTTTTCTTATCAAAATTCTGCAGAACTTACCGTTACATACAGGATTTTGTATCTTTGTAACCTAGGAGTTTTCTTCTTGTTTACTTGTAAAGATTAAATTTGTGTAGTGCCTTGGATGCGTTGTGAACTATGTAAACTATTCCATCCACTGCCTCCCCCAACCTTGTGAGGTTGTAGCGGAGTAGCATGGTGGTTTATAGAGGGAAACTGAGGCATGGAGAAGAACTGGGGTCACTGAAGTAACCACAGGCAGAAAAAAGACTCAAACTCCTAAGAACCGTCCATAACTACTCCTCTGCTAATCCCCACTGGAGGAAAAGGAAAGCAAATTTTATTTAATTTATGCCATGACTTACTTTTAGAAGAAAGTATTTTGCCATGGCTTCTGCCAGAAGGAATACCAAGAGACGGGAGACAACTTTCTTCAAATCAGGTCCCTGGGTTAGTGTGCACTTTGACCTTGGTGAGTGTGTGCTTTACTCTTTCTGCTCTGCCCTGTTGTTTGAGGACTCATTCTTCTGAAGGAGTCAGTCACTGAGACAGATCTGGGATTAAGTCCTGCCTCTACTTATAGGATTTTATTTCTTGGCTAAATCCTTGGCCATCTCCAAGCTTAAAAGTCTGCTTGGGTGTGAGATGGGAGTCACGGAAATTCCAATCTAAGGCTAAACGGAAGATTTAACGAGAGAAGACATAGGTAGACCTGAACCCCAAACCCCAAGTGGATGGAATACTCAGTTTAGTACCAGAGAGCAGAAACAGAAGAAAGCACTGTCGACTTCATGAGTTGAATGTTGGGAAAATGTTGAGCTTGAAAAGTGCCAGCTATACAGGGCTCTAAGAGCTGCCTCGGTGGTGGAGAGTATTTGCCGCTCTTTCAGAGGACTTGGGTTTTGTTCTCAGCAGTACACGGTGGCTCTCAATAATCCAGTGCCGGGGGATCCTACACCTTCTTCTGGCCTCTGTGAGCAGCAGGCATACGTGTGGGAGCACACACGCACAAAAGAAGGTAACGTTCTTTTAAAAAGAAAAATATTAGGTAGTGTCACATGACTTGAACCCGATACATAAGTTAGCCTCAGCTTTATGTACCGCTCATTAAAAAAACA